GTCTGTTGCGGAAGTACAGACGTTCCTCTCGTTGATAGCAGAGGAGCGGATCCAGCGAGAGCTTGATGGGGCGACGCGGAATGAAAAAGTTTTTTCAGGAGTCGCGGCAATAGAGGCGGTGCAACTATAACGACATCTGAATAATCCCGCCCACTCTAAAGCGGTACTGAACTGCAGTGGAAACGCAAACCGTGCCGAGCCGTACCGTGCCGTGCCGTACTGAGCCGTGCCGAGCCGAGCCGTACCACGCAGTGGAAAAGCGCCAATAGTTGAAACTAACCAAACATTTACTGTCATTTGCTAAACCGTGTGCACAGCCATAAGTGTAAAATACATGGTTAAAATACATTGTTGGGTGATACATGGTTTCAGGTAAATTGTAACTCCGGAATCCTTCTAATTTGAACATTTAAGTATTTTGTTTCATTTTTATTATCATTTCAAATTACTGTTTCATTAAATTACTTATCTTTATTTGTTAAATTCTATCTTTATTTGTTTGTGAGTATTATAATATTTGGGGATACATCTTATTGAAGTAGGACCCAGACACAAGTAGGTTAAATAGATCTTTATTCAGACAACAAACAAAAAAAAGAGTACAAAAAAAGAGTAGTGTAGTCAGAGAGGGGGGCCTTAATCCAGCATCACAAGGAATTTAGTTTCTGAACCTGGTGCTGCTCCTTACAAAATTCTACTCCAGACAGGTAGGGGGCGCTACATTAATATAAATATAAAATGATGTACCATCTAGTGTGTTTACTTGATATTCTTATTTTCCCCATCATGTTTTGTAATGGTCAGTTTTGAGTCAGTTGCTCAGTTTCTCCACTAGACGTCAGTAAAGCAGCACTGATTCCAAAGAAGAAATGACAAATGTATTAAATTATTTTAGCTTAATTTTGAACTATTTGAATTGAGCGCAACAATTGCTTTAATTAAATTAAAGCAACTACCAGATTAAATATGTGAGCAATTATAGACTTCCTGTTTATTACTCTAAAGCTGCTTTGAAACAATCTGCATTGAGTAAAGTGATTTAGAAATAAATTATTTGAATTGACTAAATATATTTAATTCAACGTTGTCATGATTAGCAAGAATATTTTGCAAACATTTACTTCAATAATGAAATCATAATTTCATCTGTGTAACTGACATAAACTAAAAAAAAGAAGAAAAAAAAAACAAATTCGTAAAGAGACACATTTCTCTGAGATAATTAGGTAAATGTCAGTTAGCCTGAAAATATGAATCTTAAAATTGCCTCCAGTTGGTCAGGTAAGATAAACAATAATAATTGTATTTATTTATTTATTTTAGTACAATAAAACACTTAAAAAAAAAACAATAATTTCCATTACTTTTTCTTCTTGATATTATTATATTACTTGATATGAACTTCACTTCTGCAGATAATATGAACCTTATAGACATTTAATCAGTAATTTTACCGTTTGATTAAAGGGGTCATCGGATGCCCATTTTCCACAAGTTGATATGATTCTTTAGGGTCTTAAAGAAAAGTCTGTAACATAGTTTGGTTAAAATTTCTCAATGATAGTGTAAAAACCACCTGTTTCACCCTGTCAAAATCAGCTCTTTTCAGATCAAGCCGTTTTGTAGCATTTTCCTTTAAATGTTAATGAGCTCTGCTGACCCCGCCCCTCTCTTCCGAGCTGCTCTCTGAGGGACTGTTTACTTTATGCCGAGTTCACACTGCACGATTTTAGCACAATTTTTCACTCGCCGACAGGTTTTGCGAAATCGCCGACGAATGCTCGAAATTGGAGGAAAATCGGTGTTAGTTCACGGGAGTGACAATCACGCAGTGTGAATTATCAAAGACGCGATCTGAGGGAATCGCAGACGGCCGTGAAATATTTGACATGCTAAATATCTGGAGCTGTCGGCGATTCACAATCACGCAGTGTGAAATGAGTTCTGACTGAAAAACACATTGGCGATGACCTACAGCCAATGAGAGACCAAGATACAGGGCAGCGGGAAGTTCGGGGAGGAGTTATATGAAACGTAATTTGCAGACCAGTGTTGCCAAATCCGCGATTGCCGCCGTTTGTTTTTTATGTCAGCAGGTTGAAGCGACCCCAATAACGTGATATTTAGGCCCTGGAATGTGAATTGTACCAGGAGAACCCTGCCAAAAAAAAAAATATTTTAACAAACGTAATCCACTGCGAGTTCAGCGGCTCAGATGTCGGGAGTAAATGACGACTGCTATGTTCATTATTACATCCAACAACAGAACACCTCAATCGCTTAGGAGTCATTCTTGTCTACATCTGCTTCGGTGGTGAAACAATGGATGACTGATGACAGCTCACTCAGGGCGGGTCTAAGATAAGACGCCAGTCCAGTCTGTGAGGAAACGCTACTGTCAATCAAACTATCGTGGGAGGGGCCTGTCTGTGTGACGTCACACCGGCATCTGAGATCGGCTCGATTTGAGAAAGGGGTAAAGATTTTAGTAGATTAAAAAACATTTTTTTTTATCATTATAGGGTGGTATAATGGTATACATTTCATTTCAAACAACTTGTAAAAGTGCATGTAGCATCACATAACCCCTTTAATATCCATCAGTGATCAGAGTTCAACTAACTATCAATCACAACCGTACTGATATTCGGATCAACAGTCTCGTACTCATGTGATTAGATGTTGAAACATGATCCAGAGCTGCAGGAGTAATGATTACTGACTATTGATCGCTAAGATCCTCAGAGAGGAATAAAAATGACACCAGAAGAACGGGAAGAGTGTGTCAGTGAAGGTGATTGTGAATGTGTGTAGATGTGTGTTAGTTACAGGATCAGAGAATGACACTGTTCCTCTGTCATAGTCCAGATTCACTCTCACACGATCAAGCTGCTGTTCAACACCAAAACCAGTAACAAAAGACCATCTGTACCTCACACACCAGACATCAGTGTTAAAGAAAACACCTCCCTTCCTCCGGTTTGATGCTGTAGTTACTCCAAGAATCCAGCGTTTACTCTCTTTAACCTCCACATCCCAGCAGTGTGTTCCTGAGTTAAAACCTTCTGAACCCAGAACACAGAAATAATGTTTAAATCTCTCTGGATTATCAGGAACAGGTTGTTTGTTCCCGCTGTTTCTCACACTGGTCAGATCATCAGACAGGACGAGACGTGGATCTGCAGTGTTTGGATCCAGAATCACAGGAGCTGATGAGACACAATCAACAGACGCTGTTATTCTGATGTTCATATAATGATCAAGAGTGAACCCAACACAGATGATTATGAATTATGACACTCATCCTGTTGATCAAACACATCAGACATTTTCCTCCCATCACTGTCAGTCATTCTCTGTGTGACTTATTAATACTGAAAGTTCAACCAGAAACAGTGAGTGACACATACTGAGAAGAGATTAATTTAATTTACGCTGTCATTTACATTAAGTGAGCTGTTTTTAATGCAAAATCTTACCTTTGAACAGAACTTTACACAGTGCTTTCATATTCATTCCAGATTATCAATGTAATAATGCAGAAGTAATGTTCATATCCATATAATTTTCCTCAGCGTTTCTCTTGTATGAATCACAAAGCTCTTTACTGAATGCTGCCTACTTATTAAAATAATAAATAAACAGTAGGTATTATTCCACAATGGTGCAGTTAAATAATAATCTTGCTTATATTGTTAACGCTACAACTAAAACTATTAATATTATTTTCATTAATTAAAATAAAGCTAAAATAATATAAATAATAATTAGTAGATTTAGTAGTAAATCTAACAATTAAAATGAAATAAATTAGAAAAGTTATTTTGTTATTTTTTAAATGTTGTTATTTTTTAAATGAATGATTTCGAAGGGTACAACTGATGGACACTTCTGGCTCCCATGATCCTTTGCATGATGACGGTGCCTCCGTGTGGGCACGTGATGATGACGCAGAAGGGCACTTCAAGAAACAGTTGTTTGGTCCCCCACACCCTTCAACCCTTCAAAGCTCTCACTCCGGAGGGTAAACCCTTTGAAGGGATTAGGACATAGAGATGAGCCCTTCCGAATGCCTCCCGGCTGCCGCCACCATCTTGCCGTGAGTGATGCACGTCAGCCAGATAAAGGTAAAAAGGGCTGGACTAAAGAGGTCATCATCTTAATTCGTTCATTATAAAAATGACTGTAGATCCAATAAATATTGACATTTTTGATATTTGTAGATAATGATCACAGAGTAATTTCACATATAAATGATGACTGATAAATGCACGACGGATAAACATTCATTGCAATTTAGTTATTTCATTGTGACATCATCACAAAGTGAACTACTGATTTTGGTGCAGTAGATAATCTGGTTCTTCACACGTAATGCTGAAATCTGTCAATATTGCATCATTTCCAGTGTGTGTATGCGAGCTCAGATCTTCTGCAGTCAGACTCACTGTTCTGGACCATGTCCTGCATCTTCTTCCAGACTCTGAAGGGCAGGTTGCCCAAGTAACGTGGCACATGAATCAAAGCTCCAGAAGGAGTCTGTGGATCCGGCTGTGATGAGATCTGGACTCTGGAAGAACATTCAGGATCAGAACTGCAGTGGCTTTGGATCAGAAGCAGAGAGAGCAGAGACAGCAGCAGATCACTCACCTTTCCATTGAGACTGGAAACTTCTGCAGAACAAACACACCTTTGATCATCAACAACTCAATCAATCATCAACCAATCAATCAATCAATCATCTGATCAGACCTTCAGAAAGCAGACGTCACTGGCTTTCATCATCTCCTCCGTGTCTTTGATTGTGTGTGAAAGAGCTGAGATGTGTCTGTTCATCTCCTCCAGCTTCTCCTTCATCATCTGCTTCTTCTGCTCCTCTTCCTCCCTCAGTGCAGTGATTGTAGCTACTTCTTCATCTCTGAGAAACTGATGAAGCTTCTCAAACTGCCGTTTAATCTGATGCTCTGTGTGCTCAGCTTGAGACTGAAATCAAACCACATTCACTTCAATCGTCTCCATCAACACAATCACATCATTCAGATCTGAGAGAAACATAGATACCGACATATAACGCATCCAGAAGCAGATTGATTAACGTCATTTACACAAATAATCAACTGGAGTCCATTATATTAACTATATCAGATCATAACTGTATATAGTGATCTACAGCTGTAATGAAGATGACTCTGGATTCTGTTTCCTCACCTTGATGTGTTGAACTGTTTCATCAAACTCTCCTTTCATTGTTTCATTGCGTTTTAGTTTCTCTTGTAATGATTTCAGTGCTGTATTGAGCTCCTCCTAGAATTAAACAAACATACATTAAACACCAGATTACAGTGACAAAACGAGCAGACAATACAGTGACATGATCATAATGCAGTGCAAAAGTCCTGTAAATCCTGATTACTTCTGTTTTTGTGTGAATCTCATAGTAAATTAATTCAGAAATTATAACCTGCCATAAAACAAAGGCAACCTGAGTGAAGACAAAGCACAGTTTGTAAATTGAAATGTTATTTATTGAAACAAAATAGTTATTCAATACCAACTGGGCCTGTGCCTTTATTTGCCACCATAGTTACTAGTTTACCCAATTTTGTGAAACTGCATTGATAATGGAGTTCAGATCACTGCAGTCCCGTTCAATCAAATCAACACTTAAATAGCCTTTTCAACAGCATGAAGTTGACAAACTCATTTGTCTTACCTTATATGATGAAACCGCTTCACTGATGGGTCTGAATTTATGATTGTTGTGTTGTTGTGAATCTCTGCACACTAAACACACCGGCTGTTTGTCCTCCAGACAGAAGAGTTTGAGTTTCTCACTGTGTAAACTGCAGATCTCCTCAGATCCTGATGAACGCCTCTCATTTCTTTGCTTCAGGAACGACTCACATAAGTTTTTTAACACTAGATTACATGGAGGATCTTCTCTTGAGGATCTTCTCCTGCAGACGGGCCACTCCTGAGTTTTCTTGATTCTCCAGAACTGTTGAAGACACTCTTTACAGAAACTGTGACTACATGATAAAAGAACAGGAGTCTTGAAGATTTCACAGCACACGGGACAAGACAGCTCTTCTTCAGATACAGTTAGTGAAGCCATTTTCACTGTTTGAGCTCCAGCAATCTGAACTTTACTTTCATTTCTGAAAGCATCATTCAAAAAGTGAATCACCACGAGAATCACGACGATCTGCTGTCTGTTCAGAGACAAATAAGGTGCATGTAAGATAAAAGTACATATATGTGACAGATATGTTTGTGTGTACGTCAGTGTCTGAATTAGCTTTTTATTGCTTTTTATTTTTGTCACAGAGTTTCTCCAGTGTCTGTCATGATCAAATCTTTATCAGAATGATTTCTTCACATGCTGAAGTTCAGTGATAAACTATCGTCTGTGTATTGAGCTGATTGTCAGTGTTTGGAGACGCAAGCAAAGATGAACAGAGTAAGAGTCCTGAATAAACAGAAGAAATGGAGATGGGATTAAAGTTTGTGTCTCTCAAGTGTCAGTCCTCAGCACCTTTATTAATACTTACTTAGTATTTCATGTTAATTATGAAAAATATGCTCACTTCATTAGCATAAATAAATTTTTATCAAATATAATATCAATATACACTCAGTCACATCACTGTTTCTCAGACAATATCGCCAGAATAATTATGTTTGTATTTATGCATGTGATCCTACAGCTACTATCGATTATTATTATTATTATTATTATTAAACTAAAGAAATTAAAGATCCATCTTTAACTGTCGAAAAATTCTAAAGAGCCGCCGTGTTTTTAATTATTTGTATTATTATTGTTATCTGTAGGCGCAGTTGACTGTGGCTCAATCAGATTAGTGTTGAGTTGCTGTAGATGGTGAATGTGTGCAGTGTGTGAGAGCTTTTAGTGAGGGGCGCGGCTGCAGCATCATCTGCACAACTAACGAGAACATCTGTAATGAACCTTGTCAAATACAGCAATACACCAGTACTGGATACAGTGAGAAATAATGCCAAATAGCCCATGATGAAGGTTTTTTCCATTCATTTTAGTAGCTGACATTTCAGTGTCATGCAATAAGTTATTCATAATGGCTACACAACATTAATTGCAAAGTATCATCCATTTTATTTTCATTAAATATGTGTTTTACGCAAGCTATTGCCAATATTATAATTTCAAGCAACTGCTGAAACAAAGTTTAATAAGAGAGACAATTGTTTAGATTATAATGGGTATTTAAAGGTTGGTCAGTTAGTAGGCCTACAGAGGGCGCGGCTGCAGCTCCGCATCATCTGAGAAAACTGATGAATATATTATGTGTGTGTATGTATATATATATATGTATATATGTATATATATATA